ATTATATTTTGGGCTAAATGCCATATGTGGGCTTCGTGCCAACTGTTTTGACCCTTAGGGGATCTTTACTAATATATTTCTTCACTATTTGATTTCATACTTGTGCTCACTCATGCCATATTTTACTGTTTTCAAAACTCAGTCATGTTACTCTGTTTTAAACACTTTAAATGATATTTTAAAGATATTTTGAGCTGAGCATCATATTTACTGTTGCCCGAGGGGCTTATGAGATCCTGACTGAGTAAGGCCGAGGGCTTGTATTGTGAGGTTACTTTTGGGTCGGGCTGCACGCCGCAGCGGTGATATACTGATTATGATAATAAGGCCGAGGGCCTGAGATTTGTATGCCACGAGGTGGCTTGTGATTGATATGAGGCCGATAGCTTGTTTATGATGCCAGGAGATGGCTTGATATTGCGCTTGGGCCGTAAGGGGCCCCTCCCGGAGTCTGTACACCCCTAGTGAGCACGGGTACCCATTGAGATATGAGATATAGCCCGAGGGGCTGGTATTGTTCTGTGATATTGCCCGAGGGGCCGATTCTGTTGTTACCTTGCCCGATGAGCAGTTGTTATGTGTTTACCATTTCTGGTCGTTGTTTCCATATATTGTTTGACTGCTTAAAAGGTGTTTTGTCATATTTCACTGTTTAATTATGTTTACTGATTTTGTTCTGCCTCTTATAGCTTAATGTTGTGTTTAACGTGATTTTATATCGCTCAGACTTCATTTATTATTATTACTCACTGAGTTGGAGTACTCACTTTACTCCCTGCACCCTGTGTGCAGATTCGGGCGCTATAGGTCCTGCTAGCGAGGGTTGAGAGTTGTCCAGCAGATTTTCGGAGATTTACTAGGTAGCAGCCCGGCGATTCGCAGCCCAGTGCAATCTCCCTCTATCTTATTTCCTTTCTGATTCAGTTATGTAGTGGTGGAGTAGACTTTCAGACTTGTAGTATGATTTTAGATGCTCATGACTGGTGACACCCCGATGTCGGGCTGTGTTGGTTTTTAATTCAGCAAAATTATACTGTTCAATGATATTTTGGGATTTTATTTTCGCTAAAGACTTAGTATTTATTATTTTAAATTGCTTAATGTGAATTGGAAGTGTGTCGGCTGGCCTTGTCTTCATGAGAGGCGCCATCATGACCGGGTCCGGGTTTAGGGTTGTGACATATCTTTGCCCTGGTTTTGTAGGTGGAGCAGCAGGAACATAAGGACCTTGGGGTATTTTAGGTTGTTTAGGTGCTTTAGGTGCATTAGCTGCTTTACGTGCTTTAGCTGCTTTAGGATCTTTAGGTGCTTTAGGTGCCATCTATTCAAAAAAAGTAAAAGATACAAAAAATAACATCAGGACATTATCAAAAAAATCAGTTAAAACTTCAACTCTAAGAAGCCTGAAGTTGGCCAGTTACAAACAAAAACTTCAGCTCTAGAGCTGAAGTTCAACAGTTACAAAACAAAAACTTTAGCTCTAGAGCTGAAGTTAGCCAGTTACAAAACAAAAACTTCAGCTCTAGAGCTGAAGTTCACCAGTTACAAACAAAAACTTCAGCTTCAGTTACAAAAATAAAAACTTCAGCTCTAGAGCTGAAGTTCGCCAGTTACAAACAAAAACTTCAGCTCTAGAGCTGAAGTTCGCCAGTTACAAAAACAAAAACTTCAGCTCTAGAGCTGAAGTTCGCCAGTTACAAACAAAAACTTCAGCTCTAGAGCTGAAGTTCACCAGTTTCAAAAAACAAAAACTTCAGCTCCTAAGCTGAAGTTCACCAGTTACAAAACAAAACATTCAGCAAAAAAATGTTGTAGTTTTTACAAAAAAACAAAACACAAATTCAAATCCAAAAATAATGCTGAAGTTCATAAAAAATATAACAAAAAAACACAAAACATAAAACAAAACTTCAGCTCCTATCTAAGGTATTATTGAAGTATTATAAACTCCACACTTTAATATTATCATCTATTTAACTCTCAAAAATTTTAAAAATTTTGACGTCTCCAATTATCACTGAAGAATTTATATAATTTTCATCAACAACACAAACACACGTTCAAAAAACCTAAAAATACAATCGTAAAAGTAAAACTAATGCACTTATCAAACTAAACCTTAAGAAACTATGTTATCATAAATACATGACTATCAAAACCAAAAACCAGAAATTAAATCTTAAAAAGTAATACTAAAATAAAACCCAGAAAGTTAATGCAATGTACCTGTGATTAAATCGTAATGTTATTGGGGTACAAATAGTTGAAAAATCAAAAACAACGATGAAAACCGGTCGATTTCAGAGAAGAACAAATCAAAAAACGCGAATAACGGGAGAGAGAGACAGAAACAATAGAGGACTAGCGTATACTTGGACAGAAAGTAGTCTTTTAATAAAGAAGGGCAAAATAGTCTTTTTAAAAGGCTTTTAACAATAAAACGGGTACGGGTGCAAACCGAAAAACAAAGCGGCTACATGTTAAAAAGGGGCGCCCATGCAATTTTTACCGTATAGTCATGCTAGTGTGGAGGCGAAAGGCCGCAAATATGGCTCCCATTAGAATCCAGTTTGCTGTGCACATCTTTCTGCAGTCTTTAAATAGTTAGTATTCGGATTCAGGAAATATTAAGACCAACAAAGTATATGTACTTCTTCAAAACCCTCTTTAACTATTAAGATCCAACTGAAGTAACAACAAGGAATTAATGAACCAAAATGACAAAAGGAACCGAGTGAATATTTTGTTCTCATTGCATGTCACCCGTTTCTATAATTGAACTATATCCCAAACAACCTTGCACAACATGAGTTGTCATGATTAATGGTGCTTTGAGTGAAGAATTACACACCATGCAATCCAAGAAATGCACAGGCTCACATATATATGTAACCATAGCCGCATTCACCCCAAATGGATCACAAAACAACCTCCCTCACATAGAAATCTTTTGAATTACATTGCGCTCAAATTCACCAGTTCTTGCATTGCTCAATTAATACAGCTTCATGACTGCCAATTAATTTTCTTACTCATTTTTGAACATATAACTGCTTTACACAACACCGCACTGCAAGATTTATATCTCTACCCGGATCTATCAGTTACAAACTTAACAAGATGCGCCAAATTCAACATTATGACGATTATTGTGGGGTCGAAATCCACCCGAAGAAGAGGAGGAGGAGGAGGAGGAAAAGGAGGAATAGGAAGAAGACGACGACATTGACGTGGTGGCTCACAGATATTTGTAGCTTTTGCAAATAATATTCCTAAGCTTTAAGAAGTAATTCAGAAAATCAAACAGCTACCAATTCTCCTAAAACCAACTATTTAATTCATTTATCTTTTGATAAGTAAAACAATAACAATATATCTTTTGTAACCTACATTCAGTTTTTTAACTTACAAAATGTCTTCAAGATTAAGAGCTACGTACATGGTTAGCAGGAATAAAAGGAAATATCAATTTAAAAACAAGTTCTCTATCTTTGATTTGGTCTCTCTCAAAGTATACTTGCTTAAACTAAAATTTCCAGCCTTCATATTTCTCTTTTACATCGTACTTTTTACTGTTCTGAGGTTGAGGTTGTTGGTTAGTCGAGGTATGAGTATAATGAGTAATTCATTCATCATAAAAATCTTTCACTTCAAATGAGGTCTGTGAATTGAAGAAACTATCTTCTATTTAACCACAAAGAATTCTACAAGATATCAGGGATTGATGATCTTCAGACAATAGAGGGGACTGTTTAAATCCAAAGCAGTAGACTCAAGTACCAGAAAGGGAAACTCTTGTAAACATGGAGAAGAATCCCAGTTTTGCTACAAAACTTCCTCATTCCTCTCCAATTACTAACTCAAAACAATAAAATCGGTGTCACAGAGCATTCAATAAACTGGCAAATTTTCAGATATATTGTCCTACAATCAATATAATAAACAATATGAATATATTAGTTAATGATTTACCTAAAATCACAAATAGATGGAGTGCAATCTGGAAAGGGCGAATTGGCAGTGCAGAACAGGTGTTTGATTTTGAAGCTCCAAAAATGGAGTTCCATCGGCGAAAATTGCAAAGGATGGGTCTGATGACAAAGATTATGGAGAATTTGAACTATGATATCGCTTAAAAATACATTAATAATAGAGATTGTAACTTTTGATTTTTGAATAATTATAAAGAAATTTGTCAAAAAAATATCTTGACGTTTGTATATGTAAGAATGACATAAAAATTGATAAAATATTTTACACAAAATTGACTAGTTGTAAAATTTCAATCCTAGCAATAACAAAATAGATCTAAATAAAAAATAAAAATAAAAAAGCAGCCTGGTGTACGAAGCATCTTGTGTTCACGCAGGGTTGGGGAAGGGCCGCACCTCAATAGGTGTGATGTAGACAGCCTACCCTGAATCAGTGGCTGATTCTACGGCTCGAAGCTAGGTCACACGAAGACAACTTTACCATTGTTCCGTGTTGGACCTCAAGTTAGTTTGGGCCAGCCTAGTAACAGAGAACGGCCCAATCAGTCTAATAGTGTAATGTCTAGTTGTGTAACGTCTGGCTTAGTTGATGGTTCTTTTATTTATGGTCCGACCCGACCCAGATGTAAATATATATTTTGTATATGTAGTTAGGACCTTCACTTCATATGGGTGGAATTTATTTTACATTGCATCAGTAAAATTGATCAGATAATTTTCTCTCTACTGTTCTTCATACTTTATCAAAGAGTTAGGGTTTCCTTTCACAAATTTCCACAATTGATCTCGATTTCAAATGTTAACATAGTATCAGAGCCCAGAGCTCGATAGATTACAGCACTACGGTTCGTCCATTTTTGTTTTTCACGGTGAATTTAGCTTGGATCTCTTCCTTTTCTGTTATAATGAGGAATTTTGGTTTTGTTAATTCCTCTCTACCTCATTGATTGTGATTAATTGTTACTAGCTTTCAACATTTTCTGAAACCCTAATATTTCAACAATTACGATGAGTACTACTAGCGATATTTCGAATATAGGTGTATCATGTACATCATCTGTGTCCACTGTTTCTACTGTGGAACCTTCGCACCTACTATATTTGTATCCATACTATTCTCCTGGAACTGTTATTGTTTCTACTACATTCAATGGTTTGGGTTATGGGAGTTGGCGTAGAGGAATGCTGATACGTCTCTCGTGTAAGAACAAGCTAGGATTGATTAATGGAATGATTCCTAAACCTAGTGCAGATTCTCCTTTGTATGAGCCTTGGTGTAGATGTAATGATACGGTTACTGCTTGGTTTCTAGATAGTTTGGACATGGAAATTAGAGAGAGTGTTATGTACACAGAATCAGCTGAAAAATTATGGAAGGAAATAGAGCAGCGTTATGGAAAGCCAAATGGGAGTAAAGTGTTCCAGATACGCAAAGAAATCTCTTCCATCTCTCAAGGATCTTCCAACATAGCATCTTATTTCAATAGGATTAAGAAACTCTGGGATGAGCTAGCATTCTCTATATCATATCCTCCTTGTGTATGTGGGTGCAAGGAAGCCTTTCAGAAGATAGAAGAAGACCAAAAAGTCCACCAATTTCTAATGGATTTAAATGAGAACTACTCTAATGTGAGAAGAAATATTTTGATGATGAAGCCTCTTCCAGATATAGATACTGTATATGCAATTCTGATTGAAGATGAGAGTCAGACAGATGCTAAAACTTCAGTTCCCTCTTTCAGTTCAGAGTCTGCATCATTCAGTACTGCAGTTCAGAAACCAATTTCTACTGGAGTTCAAAAACCATACAGTCAGAGAGTCAATTTTGATCCTTCTAGGAAATTTAATTCTAACCTGATTTGCAAGTATTATAAAAAGCCTGGTCATTCCATTGAGAAGTGCTATAAACTACATGGCTATCCACCTGGTTCCAGAATCAGACTAAAGAAAAATGTTGCATGTGCTCAAGTTTGCGACTCTCAAGTGGCAGTGCATTTTGAGAATTCTGGAACGGATGGTTCTAAAGTGCCTCAGACTGATGTTGGAGGCTATATGTTGACTAAGGAACAATATGACCAACTCATTTCTTTTATCCAACAATTTAAGATCTCCTCTGCTGCTCAAGACTTTGCTACAGGGTCTGCTAATTTTGCAGGTATGATAAACTCTACTACTACTAGTTCTGATGGTATTGTTGCTTGCAATGTCTCTAGTATAGAGAGTGGTGTTTGAATTATAGACTCTGGTGCTACTAATCATATGACACCTTATAAATCACTTCTTAGAGATATCAAACCTCTAACTTTTCCTTATCTTGTAACTCTTCCCAATGGTACAAGGTTAAAGTAACCTGTACTGGAACACTTTCTTTATCCTCTAATATTTCTCTTCCTATTGTACTTTTTGTTCCTTCTTTTCATTATAATCTGATTTCTTTGTCTGAATTGCTATTACACCTAACTAGCTATGCACTTTTCACACCTACTTCTTGTATCTTGTTGCAGGTCTCTTTTTTGAAGAAGCCACTGGTTCTTAGTAGACTTCAGAAAGGGTTGTACCTTCTGCATTCAGATACTCTTTCTTCCATTGATTCATGTGATTATGCATTTGTAAATACCATAATTGCATCCTTGATGATTCTAATAAGAGCAATTCTGATTTTAATTTTGAGTCTATTTCATCACATGATAATACTGTTCATACTTTACCGTCTACATTGTCTCTTGATCATATTTGGCATTTGAGGTTGGGTCATGTACCTTTTTCTAAAATGAAAAATATCCCTTTTCTATCTGATAAACTACCTAAGAAACAGTTCTTCTTGTGCCCTATTTGTCCCATGGCTAGACAACAAAGACTACCATTTCCTGAAAGCACCATTAATTCTTCTACTCCTTTTCAGCTAGTTCATGTTGATCTTTGGAGACCCTATCACACTCAAACCTATAATGGATATAAATATTTCATTACCTTTGTGGTATGATTTTACCAGGGCAACATGGACTCATTTGTTATCATCTAAAGCAAATGCTCACTACTTAAATCTTTTGACTTTATGATTCAAACCCAATTTGGTTGTCTTGTTAAAGTCATTAGGTCTTACAATGCTTTTGAATTGGGTTCTAGTTCTGAGGGGATTTCTTTCTTTTCTGCTCAAGGGATCCTCCACCAAACTTTTTGTCCACATATACCTCAGCAAAATGGTGTAAAGGAATCATAAGCATTTATTAGAAACTGCAATGACTCTTCTTTTCCAATAAATTGCCTGTCAAGTATTGGGGTGAATGTGTTTTGACTGCTACATATCTAATAAACAGATTTCCTTCCCCATTGCTACAAAATAAGTCAGCTTTTCAGATATTGTATGTTACTTCTCTTTCTTTCACTCATCTCAGAACATTTGGATGCTTAGCTTTTGCTGCTGTGCCAAAGCCTTATAGAGACAAATTTAAATCCAGAACTATCTTTTCTGTTTTTCTTGGTTGTAGTCCTGGAAAGAAAGCCTACAAACTGCTGAAACTTTCTTCCTTAGTCATCTTTCATTCTAGAGATGTAGGTTTTCATGAGTATGTCTTTCCATTCTCTATTTCATCATCATCATCTTCTTCTCATTTATTTCCCCCTTCTTTCTCTACTTCCCCAGCTTCTCCTCCTCCTGTAGTTTCTCCTGATCCTACTCCTTCCTCTACATTTGTTTCTCCTACCCCCTCTTCAACATCTTTCCCTTCTTCATCTTTTTCTGATTCTAATCCTCCTCTAAGGAGGTCATAGAGACCACATCATACTCCTGGACCTCAAGTTAGTTTGGGCCAGCCTAGTAACAGAGCACGACCCAATCAGTCTAATAGTGCAATGTCTAGTTGTGTAACATTTGGGCTTAGTTGATGGTTCTTTTGTTTATGGTCTGATCCGACCCATATGTAAATATATATTTTGTATATGTAGTTAGGACCTTCACTTCATATGGGTGGATTTATTTTACATTGCATCAATAAAATTGATCAGATAATTTTCTCTGTACTGTTCTTCATACTTAATCTAAGAGTTAGGGTTTCCTTTCACAAAATTTCACAATTGACCTCGATTTCAGATGTTAACATTCCAAGGTTCCCCTTCAGTAAAATAGATTTACATATATTCAGTATTTGAAGTTATACTAAAAATTTTAAAGAAGAAAAATAAAGTTTTGAGCAATATTTAAAAGGCATTTTCTGGGCGAAACATTGGGGCGGGTGCGCTAAGGCATACTAGCAAGGCGCAAGTATCATGCAGCGTAAGTCCCAATCTCTCGGGAGTTTACTTAGGCATAAGTCCCAATATTGAGAATTTCTTCAAATTCGAGCTAAAATTACTTAGTAAATCGTTTTTTACACTTAAAATATTTAAAAGTTAACCCATAGTAAATTCTCAAACTAAAGAACCTCAAAAGTCGAAAGCCTTTTCTAACTATGTACGTACTTCTATAATTTTTTAAATTTTGATATTTACTGAGTAAAAAATACGAAGATGGTTTCAAATAGGGGTGGCAAAATGGTTAAAAGAAAACAGTTAACCACCCATATTATCCACTAAAAAATGGGTTGGATAACTTAAACCCCATCTTAGATATACAAACCCATCTGCCCTATTACTGACCCGCCTCAATTTTTTTTTTTAAAAAAAACTCGTCTTCTGCTTAAATTTTAGCTGCCACCTTCGGCTTCGGCGATATTACCCGCCAAACTTCCTATTTTGTATTTTTCTTTCAATTTTGCTTGTTTTGGGCTCTCCCGTTTTATCACTGACACACACAATTACATACATTGAATCATTAGAATCAGAGAAAAGCAGAATCGGCAAAGAAGAACAATGGATTATCCTCTTCAATGGTTAAAAAATCTCCATTATGGATAGTTCCAGTCATACAGATAGCTCATACCGGCAAAACAATCATCACATATAAGACATTATAAAGACTCGGTGCATTGAATTATTGACTCTCATTGAAGCTTTCTTACATAGAAAAATCTTCTTCAATTAACAACCACAATTAAGGCTAGGGACATAACACATCACTTATTTTTTGAACAATTTGTTGTATAAGTCCGCAAAATTAAAGTAAAAGAGTTATTTTGGATCAAAACTAAAGTAAAATTTATTGCATCACTTCATGTTCACCTTCTTGGGAGAAAGGGAGACAAGAATAGGGCAAGGCAGGTTTAACTGTTTAGCCCTTTCTTAGGCGGGTTGGGTCAAAATCCTATGGGTGGATTTTTTTTTTAAAAAAAGGGAAGGGCTTAATTTTGGGCCAATCATTTTACGCCACGTTATAAATAAATATTCAATTATTTTATTTTCAGAGCACCATTAAGGGCAAACTTGAGCAAAAAAGAAAACGGCAGGGACATTTTTATTTAAGTAGGTGGACGGAGGGTATTTTTGTACCAAATCCGATACTTTTCCAATAAATTTAGGAAGAATTACACAAAAATACAGTCCACCCATATACATTGCATCAGAATAACCCAGTTACAACCTTGCAAATCTGTAGCCCATTAACAATAAGCCAAAGTTCGAAAAATAAGCATTTTTTTCTTTTTTTTTTATTCTGCAGATCTTCAAGCACAAAAATTTTGTGATTTTTTATTCTTCTTCCCCAAGTTTGTATATATTCCTATTCCAGCTACAAAAAATTCAAATTCATATATAATGCAACTTGAAAACCTTAAATTTTCTTCTTTTCCAAGTTCCAAATAGCATAAATAAAAAATAAAAATTGAAAAAATTATTGCATGTTCATGATTTGGCAAATAAATCAACAAAAAAAGTCGATTTGTACATAGATTAAACATATAAAATTTTAATTTAGATTTAACTGCACATGTGCATTACATGTATAATGATGTATAACTTTGTATAAACTTGTATATACAATACCTAATAATGTATATCAAAAAAATAAGACAAAGAAGAAAAAAAAAAAGAAAGTGTCAAACATCCATGGATGCCTATTATACACGTATAACGTATATATACACTTATACATTAAAAATATAGATAATTTATACAACATTGTACGCAGATATACACACTTATACATATTTATACAATATTGTATAAGTGTGTATAAACACTACCTATACAAATTTACACTAGAAAACACCTTCTGTCCATCACCACATTACAGATTTCGGTGATTGCTGGTGTTGAATTTTTCCGGCGAGTTTTTGGCTTCAAATTTGGGCTTCACCAGTTGCAAAAGATGAAACAAAAACTAAGAGAAATAAGAAAATATGAGACGAGGTTGCCGGAGATGCTCTTTTAGGCAAGATCTGATAGTTTTAGGCCAGATCTGATAGTTTTAGGCCAGATCTGATAGTTTTTGGACTGATATGCCAAATCTTATTGCGGTTCCTTAACCTCCTTTTGTCAATTAACTCAAAAATCGAAATCGAATTGACATAGAATGCGAGGATTAAAGAGTCATTGTGCACATCTGTATAGAGCACAAAAATTACTGAAATGTTACAGTATTTGTTTTTGTTTCTTCACTTGAGTGCTCAAAAGCAATTATCACGAGTGTATAGAAAAAAATCCTATAATTTTTAGAGAGAAGGAAGGAGAGGCGAGTGAAGAGAGATTGAGTATGCTGAGAAAGAAGAAAGAAGAAAAGAAAAAATTCCTAGAAGTATATCTTTAATAATGGGCTAAAGAATAAAAAGTTTCTTTCAAATTATATGCAACATGAGCCATATCGGGTAAAGACTTCAAACCTAGGCCATTTTTAGTTGGGCTGCTGGGCCAAGTAATTATATCCGTAATTCTTTCATAAATTTATTGTTTCCTGAACACGCACGTGTGTCTCCCACAAACTTTTCCCAGAACCCGAACCTGAACCCAACCCACTCTGCTATAATTCAACGTTCAAACTCTGAAATTTTGGATGCTTTCAAAAATGTTTTCTTCTTCTATAATCTATTTTCCTGTTACCTTCTATCTCTAATCCTTCTTTAAACACACAAAAAAAAAAAAGGCTAAAAAATTACAAAAAGATCAATTACTCAAAACACTGTTCCCAGCTCTGATCAAATCAAAAAGAGATCCCAACTTTTAGGGTTCCAAATTCAAAATCATTTTTTTCCAGACACCCTTTTGAGTTCTGATCAAAACCCATAAACTTTCTTGGAAAAATATTCTGGTTTTCTGTATGATTGAAGATGTATAGCAATTTTAAAGAGCAAGCAATAGAGTAC